TTGTGTTGAAGTACTTTTGACACATGAAATGTTTTCCGCAAATAGTATATTGATTGGAGTCACCAGACAAATTTCCTGCTCTGCTGCTAGTAAAGTCATCCCATGATCGAAAGTTAGTGCTGCAAATCATGAACCCTTTAGTGCATGATCATGTGATTGAGACTAATTTATCTTTTACTTGTTTAAGTGATCAATCATACCCTTTTATACCTTCACCTAGAATAGATATTATGATAACAAAAAGGAAAAATAGTTTCTTTGGGAGTAGAAGTCATGAGTTGGCACATTCTGAAACTCTGAATAATTCAGAGATATGAACAAGTAATGCTTAAGAAGTTTAGGTACAGTCCTAACCCAAATTGTGTTCATTTGATGGAGTTCAACATTTTTAATATAATTTCTGGAATTGGGGTTCCGTTTTGAGGTTAGTAAAACTTTACTGGCAATTCTCTTACATGCGTAGTTACAGTTTCAAGCGCCGAGGATTGTGGAGTGATTATATCCATGTTCATCCTTGCTTGTGATGATGATGACACGTGAACTGATTCGCAATCTTTACCGTATTCACCCACCAACATAATGACTGCTTGAAAGATGTTGATTGATTTGATATGCACCATCAATGTTTTAGTGATAAGGTGCAAATTGTGTTAGTTCTACTGGTGTAGTTGATTACTATGGTGTTCATATGGAAATTGCTTTTAAATTAAGTAGCTTGGCAGTCTCTAATCAGTAACGGAAATTACAACTAAATGAAGTGAACTGAGGTATTGCTGATTGGTAATAAAGGACGGCTTAATGCATTATTTTGGGATTTTTTCAGTGTTGTGTTTTGATAATACAATAGTTAGTGATTGTTTTTTTCTAGTAATAGAACTAGCCGCATTGATAAGCAACGAACTGACTTTTTCTTTTAACTATATATAAGTTGTTTAGTTGAGGAGAACATCTTGTTGCTTTCTGTTTTTGGGTTGTATAAATTATAATAGGTTCTTTAACCACGGCTGGTTTTGATTTTTTCAGTGTTGGTATTCTGACAATAGCCAATAATTACCATTAGATGAAGTGGTTGTTAATGAGAAATAAACCTTTTATATATTCTCTATATGCTGTTTGGTTAGTTGAGGTCTTGAGGAGGAGCACATCTTTGTTGCTTTTTTATGTCGGTCGGTAATAATTCGCATTAATTTTTCGCTTCTTTAATCGTGCTCTTTGGTTCGATTAATAGTTTCATGTATTCTATTGTCCGAGAGAATGATATATGTGTTGTGGTCCACCCCTCCCAAGTTGAGACACTTGCTCTTTCCTCCTTCCTCCCCCACTCCCCATTTCCCTGGTCCCAACTCAACTTTTTACTACAAGTTCCTTTTTTAAATTGTCAAACTTGTGACTGTCGGAGTTTCTAGGTTGTATCTGACAATTTTATTTTTTTTTGGAAACATGATTTGTTACATGTCCGATAGGAATGTATGATTGATGCAGATTACCTTTTCTTGAGAAAAGGAGTGAAAAAGGATACAAGCATAACAGAAGATGTTGCAAGAAATGCTAGCTGAACTTCCTGTTTCGGCTACAACTGTCACTGCTCGTACGGTTGGCAGCAACGTGGAGTTTTTAAGCATATGTTACCCAGATTTCGAGTTTTCTGGTTTCTTTAATTTGTTGGTTTGATGAAAACAGAAAGGAATTGCATCATATTCTTGAGAAGTACATTGTAGATGCAGCTGGCTCCCTGTAAATTTCACACAAGGGAAATGTTGATGACATTATTGCCTCATTTTGGGAACCTTACTTGAATCTGCAATGAATAATTGGATTTTACTTTTTGAGTTTTGAGACTGCAGGTTTAGACCATCAGCTGGCTTCCACCACCAGGCTTTGAACTTGGAATAGTGGTTAAGGCTCAATAATGGTATGTGTGATTGAAAGCGACTTAAAATTTTCAATTTAAAGGCCACTCTGAGCTGAAATAAACAAAGAATATAAATGTTTTGTAATACTCTTGGACCGAATCCTGCATGAGCCATACTTGTAGAAGGAACAATGATTCATAAACCACCAATTTAAATTTGGTGGAGTAATCTGTGGCCTTTCTGAATTTTACCCCAAATTTTATGGAGGAAAAAGCCTAGTGACCTGTTGTGAAATTTTCTCAAAAAAAAAATATTGATGAGATGCGCCATGTGGTGATAGGAATCATCGCCATATATAAATAATTATGATTCTCTTCAGACATCCGGGCTATCAATAGGAGGAGGCTATTATGCCATCTCAGGCCTTATCTTTACTCTACATTATTTATATTTTTACTCTAAAGATAAAATAATAATTCATCTTTAACGCTATCTCTACGTTACTAATAATTTTACTTTATTCACAATATTTAATTATTATAATATTGATTTTGCAAATATAAAATAAAACATATACATTTCTAAAAAATATCAAGATAAAAATTATTAATAAAACATTCATAAATAACATTACGAAAATACAAATAAATAAGAAAATTACAATTAATAATAATAATGCAAAAAACATAAGTTGCATAATTATTTATTTTAATTCTCCGAATTAGAATATTCATTCTACAAATGCTCAATTAGTGCATTTCATAGAGCAAAATTAGTATATTTATTCATCTAATTTCAATATATTTTTTATCTATCTTACAATTTAATCTACTTAAATATATTATATTATGTTTAATATAACAAAATAAAATAAAAAACTAAAACTAAAAATCATTAATTTTTTTTTTGTAGCGTTGCTATAGTAACACGCTATATGTAGCGTGCAATTTCATTTTAAAGAGATGGATTTGGCGCATCAATGGACCACTCCAAAGTGGAGGTACGCGCCACATTCTTGCAGCGTTGGAGATGCTTTTAGGCAACAAATCAAGTACCATATGATAATGACATATAATTTATGGGTTTTTTTAAATTATTTTTGCAGGGAAGCCTCTTAATTCGTAATGATGAAAAAATGTGTGGAAAAACTTGAGGAAAATAAATCAACAATTTTGTTCTCCAAAGAATATATAATATTTGGGATTCTTAGAGGATATGTAAGAATTAAACAAACAGAAGCCCATAAAGGGGAGATGGTTGGGTGCAATGGTGATACGAATAATTAAGCAAGATACTTTGGTTGTTTAAACCAATGAGCAAAAGGCACGCCATATAGGTTTAATTAACAAAAAGTAATAAACACCTGCAAGTGCAGCAGCATTGAGGGTTCAGCAAATAGGGGCCATGATCTACCAAAGCAAGATTTTCTTTTCAATAAAATGATACAGTCAAACATAAAATGGAGTTCTTTATTTCGTTCCTTTCTGCAAAGTGAAATGACCATTTTGCACTTGGTCAATTTGACCACTCATCCCTCTTTTGATTGGGAAAAAGGTTCGAGATTTGGTTTTACTTATTAGATTTGAGAATATCTGTTTTTAGTAAATTAACAAAGGGAGGGAGCCACTCCCATATGTCTAGGGATGCATCGAATCGAAAGGGAGGGAGTTATTTCCCTAAAAATTTTAAATTTTTATACTTTTGATTGAAATTTATTTTTAATTTTTTAAAATTTTATAAATTCATTATCTCTTAAAATTTTATTTTTTATAATATAGAGTTATATATTCGTTCCCGATAAAATAAATAAATAAAAAAGTGGTGGGCATGAAAGTAACAGGAGATGTAGGCCTAGGGTTTTAGTGTATATCTATATCTATATAGAAAGAAGAAAACAAAAACCAAGATAGAGAGAAGGAAAACCATAAGAAATAAATACTCATTGAATCCCCTTCATGAGGCTGCCCTGGGCCTGCAAATAGGGGGACGCCCCTCATCGGTCCCACTACTTTCTGCGGGTACTTCATTCTCCCGCTTTAAATTTATCTAACTGATTTATCACCTCTATCAAAAAGTGATTTATCAAAAGAAAATTATCTAAGTGATTAATAAATATTTATTTAAATATATGTCCAATTAAATAGTTATTTTATTTTTGTAAAAAAATTTGGAGGTAGTTTTATTAAAATATATATTTAAAATTACAATGAATGTCGATAACCATAAACATATAATTATGATATTTTTCTATAATAATCAACAAAAAAACTAACCACTTAAGATCATACAATGACCATACAAGAAAAAAAATTACAAACCTCACCAAGAAACTCGATCAAAATATAGATACGAACATATATAACTGCATCAATAAATGAACCACAAAAGGAATAAAACTACTAAAAGACCATTGATAAACCGTAAATTAGATTCGAGCAACGTGAAAAAACTAACCACAAATGAAAACCGCATATCTAATTCTAATCTGAGGATCCAAAGTAGGTAAGATCAACATGATAACAAATAAACGTCATTTTAATCATTCGGTGCGATGTAAAATCCAACTATGAGAAAATATAAACTAAAACAACGATCAAACCACCGAAAATATGTCATAAAAGCAGAAAAAAACAAATATGTTTAACATGTCAAAGACATAAAAATATCATAAAAGTAAATTATTTAATAAAAAATAAATATGTGATATGAAAATTAAAAGAAAAATAATAAATATCGACAACGGCGACTAACATCAAAACTGATGTCGTTGTCTATCAATCATGAAAGAAAAAAAAATAAAGGACTTTAAGATTTTCGAAAAGATATTAAGGTTTAATTTATTAACTTTAAAATTAGATGATTTAGTTTTTTCATTGTCTAGTTTTATTGGAGATTTGCGAACGTCCTAGTATTTGAATTTTGTTCTATTAGTCATTTATTTTATTGATAATATTTATTATAAAATTTTATTTATACTCGTTATATTAAATTTTATTTATATTATTAATATATTAAAATTAAATAATTTTTTATCTATTTTATTAATATATGTCTTTCCACTATAAAATATATTTTTGAGTCCACTCACCCAACTTTACCCTTGTCAATATAACATATAACATTCGCCGTTGGAATTATATCCATGCATATCATCTCCCATTGGTTTTAATATCAATTTCTGGGATTCATAGTTCCAATACTGTTTCTCACTCGCTTTCTTTTGCATTTTTTTCCATCTACACGCGTGCACTGCATATCATATTTCATCAAAACATAAAGGAAAGAAAATAAGAAAGAATTTTTCACTACGATTAAGGGTATTTAAGAAGCGAGAAGAGAGAGAGAGAGAGAGAGAGAGAGAGAGAGAGAGAGCGCAAGCGTGCGTGCGGGAAGGAAAGTCAGATAGGAGAAAAGAAAGAAAGAAAGAATCAGCAATCATGGGGATGATCAGTTCATTGATGATGATTATTGTGTTTATGACAACACTTGTGTTTTCCATCATATTTCTCTTTTCCAAAACCAAATGTCTGAGATCCAAAACCTCATGCCAGCTTCCTCTAGGAACCCTTGGCTGGCCTTTCCTCGGTGAAACCATCGATTTCATTTCTTGTGCTTACTCCGACCGCCCCGAGAGCTTCATGGACCGTCGTCGCCGCATGTAAACATTTTCTCTCATCCTTATTTTATGTTTGTCGCTTCCATGAATATCTTGCTAAACAGATTAGGGTTTTATTGTTTTCATTCGATATGAAGATACTGGTCAAGTATTATATTTTGCATTGTTGTTTTTGAAGGTATGGGAAAGTGTTCAAGTCACACATTTTTGGGACCCAGACTATAGTTTCAACCGATGCAGAAGTGAGTCGGTTCGTTCTACAAAGCGATTCAAATGCTTTCGTGCCGTTCTATCCGAAATCCTTGACCGAGTTGATGGGCAAATCCTCCATTCTTCTGATCAATGGGAGCTTACAAAGGAAAATCCATGGTCTCATAGGATCTTTTTTCAAGTCTCCACATCTCAAACATCAGATCACTCGAGACATGCAAAGTTATGTCCAGCAAGCGATGGATCAATGGAGAGATGATCAACCCATTTTCATTCAAGATGAAACCAAAACTGTTAGTGCCTTTTAGTTCCTCTCTTTTAGTGAAATTATTCTGCAAAAATATTCCTTTTTCATTGAAGTTTGTTCTTTGGCACTTGTTTCCCTTCAAAGTTATTTAGGATAACATTTTTTCTTGATAAGAGTTCCTACACAGACACAGCAAAAAACAAATATCCCATATCTCTTATATCTATATATGGCTTCTTCTTAATTTCATATGCAGCAGACACAGACAAAACTAAAACACGTGCGCACAAACATTTCCATTTCAATCTTAATTTCTCGGATTCTTTCTTTCTTTCGTGAAAGGAATCATTGAAGATTGAATATTTTGTTTCTGCTGGAAGGTGAAAGCAACCCCAGTTTAAGATCATGGGCTTCACAATAATTTTGCATGAATCATGTTGTCTGGGAAATTTGCTTCATAATGATTATGTTTTTTTGCATGTAGCCGATCCTTTTGAAAAGTTAAAAATGAAAATGCCTTTCTTTTTTCGTCTCCAGATTGCTTTTCAAGTACTAGTCAAGGCATTGATTAGCTTGAACCCAGGTGAAGAAATGGAAATTCTTAAGAAACAGTTCCAAGAATTCATCTCAGGCCTTATGTCCTTACCAGTAAAAGTGCCTGGAACTCAACTTTATCGATCTTTGCAGGCAAGTCACTTTATTATATACAAAATTGCTTATGGTGGGGACTGGTGTGTCTGAAAAAAAGGCAAAACGGCGTTGAAATCGTGTCTATTTCAGGCAAAGAAGAGAATGGTTAAGATTGTACTCAAAATCATCCAATCTAGAAGGAACTCAAGCAAGAGTGAAATGGCTCCACGAGACGTGGTGGATGTTTTGCTCAAGGACGCCAGTGAACTGTTAACAGATGATCTGATAGCCGGTAACATGATCGATATGATGATCCCCGGCCAAGATTCTGTGCCTGTTTTAATGACTCTTGCCATCAAATACCTCTCCGATTGTCCCGCTGCGTTACATCAATTGACGGTACGCGATTTTAATTTCAAAAACCGGTTTAAATCAGGTTTAAGTTTTCATGACAGGTATCAAATACGAAACTTTATATTATATTAATATTATATCATATCATTTCTTTTCCATTGAGAAAAAATGGATGGCAATCACCATTTCTTCGATACATGGGCATGTTATGTTGCTTTGATTGACTCGGCATCAACAAATTACTATCGACACATGGGCATATCATTTTTTCACTAGTTTCAACTTTTTTTCATAGTGATTTGCTTGGCCACCAGCTAATTGTTTGACTATCCAGGCACAACTGGCAGGCTTTAATATTAGGGTTTTGTCCACACTAGACTTATATAGTTTCTTTATGAAAGCAACGTGCCCTTTCTAATCGATTTTACTTAAGACTTCGGTTACTATTATTTTCAACTAAAAAATTATTTAAAATTTTATATATTTTCATAAAATGAGTTCGTTTCATTATAAATTTATTTATTTTTATGTTTTTATCATAATTTAAATTGATATAATTTATATATTTAACATTAAAAAATTAATGTATATTTTAACTAATAATATCATGTCTTAAATGATCATTTGTGTTATAAAAATATATTTTTACAATAATTTTAAAAATCAATTCTTAAATAAAATAATACAAACACTTTTTTAAAATATTTTCATTATTCTTTTCAAAAGTAATGTTAAACTAATCCTTACATGAGTCCAACTAGGAGGTCTTGAATTGATACAATCACCCCAAACCTAAGAAATAATAAGTTTTGTATAGAATTTACTTTTATAATTACTTATAATTCAACATTTTGTTGTGAACATTTCTTAGGAGGAGAACTTGAAGTTGAAAAGGCTAAAAGCTCAAAATGGGGAGCCACTGATTTGGAGTGATTACTTATCATTACCTTTTACACAAAGTGTAAGCAATATTCAACCAAGGAAGGAGGGTTATTGTACGTAGCTTTTAATAAATAATCAATGTGTTGTGTTAAGCAGGTTATCACAGAGACTTTAAGGATGGGAAACGTAGTAATAGGGGTGATGAGAAGAGCCATGAAAGACATGGAGATAAAAGGGTATCTGATACCAAAAGGATGGTGCTTTTTTGCTTATTTTAGATCAGTCCATCTCGATGAAAATCACTACGATTGGCCTTATCACTTTAATCCATGGAGATGGCAAGTAAGATGGACACACCTTGTAGTAATTAATTAATTAATCTCCTTTTCTTTTCTTTTTTTTATTATATATTTTTAGGGGTATTTATGGTTTGATTCTCATTGATTTTTTTTAAATAGTCTATAGATTTTCAGAAATAATTTAAACTTTATTATTCGAATCAAATTTTGTTGTCCTACCCCTAATGTTTTGCTTTTCTAACATTAAACTAATAGACATATGGGGACTGGTCATCGTTTGCAGGAGAAAGACATAATTAGCAGTTATAACTTTACTCCATTTGGTGGTGGACAGAGGTTGTGCCCTGGACTTGATTTGGCCAGGCTTGAATCTTCCATTTTCCTACACCATTTTGTCACTAATTTCAGGTATAACAATTACTCTCCATTTTCGTATTTATTTGGTCAAAAATGCATTGAGCACATAAAATTGGTATCAATCAAATCAGCTCAATATACAAGAAACATGCTACATATAATAGACATGCATTTTAACACCTTAGCAGCTAGGGTGGGCCTTTTCATAGTAAAATGTGAATAATTTAACACAGGTAGGATCTTGGTGTCACTACCCTGCCTGTATTTAATTCGAATCTTAATTTATAATCATCTTATGGTTCCAATTTTTATTTTATCTGCGATTGCTTATTGTTTTTAATAATCTGAATTTAACCCCCAAAAAAAAAAGTGCAGATGGGTGGCGGAAGAAGACACGATAATCAACTTTCCGACAGTAAGAATGAAGAAGAGGATGCCGGTTCGGGTGAAACCAAGGGTAGATTAGACCGGCCCAACATCGTTAACCTCAACATCTGCTTTTGACTAAAGCAATAATTAAAACTTAATCCAACAACAAATATTTAAAAGCAAAACCTAATCAATAAAGGGTACAGTCCATGTAATTGTATATTCCAAAAACAAATTCGGGAGCCCTTCATTTTGCATTAATTCCTTAATTATCCCTCTTGTTTTTTCTTCTTCTTATTGTTCCATATAATTTTAATTTCATTCACAAATACACGATTTTCACAATTCATAATATAATTGTTATCTTTTTGTAATTTGATAAAAGATTAATAATTGATTATAGTATAAAAAGATTGAAAATAAAAAATTTGATGTAATCTACAAATTAACATCATTGTCTTTTTTAAATTTGATAAAAGTAAAATGGGTAATATTACTGATCCCAAATTATAAGGAGACGAAGTGAGATTCATATACAAAGAGAATCCAATGCTTAGCTACTAGGGGGTGTAAACTAGCCAAGTCGAGCTCGAATATTGCTCAGCTCAACTCGAAAACTCTAAAATGAAGCTCGACTCGACTCGAAAACTCGCGAGCTTAAAATTTTCAAGCTCGACTCGAACTTGAAATCCTGAATTGAAGCTCGTGAGCAGCTCGAAAAGACTCGAAATGAAAAAAAAAATCTTAAACTTAACTCGATTGAAGCCTCAAACTCGAACTCGAATATGAACCTTAAATATATGAAAATCTTATTGTATTTAAAAAAAATCAATACATAAATGTTAATATTATTACTAATTTATTTTAAAAAATAAAATATTAATATATTATATTCTCGAGCTGCTCACGAGCTTTTCGAGTCGAATATCAAGTAGTTCATTTCGGCTCGTTAAGAACTCGAGTCGAGTCCATTCGATCCGAGTATTTATCGAGCCTTGATCGAGTCGATCTAGAATAGCTCACGATCTGTCTCGTCTCATTTACAGCCCTATTAGCTACGAATCAAGTTGGACGTCATAGTGTTTGCGAAAGAAGCTAATATAGGTTTAAATATTATCACAGGCTTAATGATCTTTTAATTCTTTTTTTTAATATTTAATTTTTGAATTTTTATTTTTTATCTACGGAAAATTTAATGAGTTTTTTTTTTATTTTTTTATAGTTTTCACAAATTTTCACATTTTATAATTTGTATAGCTTTTTATTTTTAATTGCTTAATACTTTAATATTTTTATATTTATCATTTTTTATTTTTTTTTTTTGAGCAAAAGAACAACATAACTAACATCGATATTGATAAAATAAAAAAATAATTATATTCAACTTAACGACTTTATTACTTTTTTCACCGATTTAATCTGACAATAAAAATTCGAAGTTAAACGAAACAAATTTATATGAAAATCTAAAATGACTTTTATTGAAATTTTAGGTCTATTATCAATTTATTACGTAGGGCAGTTTGACAGGAGTTTTAAAAGTGCTTTAGAAAATAATATTTAAAATTGTTGTTTCAGAGTTCAATTTAAAATTTAACTGTTTGAGTTTGATGTTAAAAAATGAGTTCAAAAATATAAAATGTCCATTATATACATTATATTGTAAATTAAAAATATATAATTTAAATTATATTTACACTTATTAATTTTATGATATATAAAATATATCAACTTGAACTATAATAAAAATATAAAAATATTTTAAGATACTCATTAATAATATTTTTATAAATGAAAAATTTTATCAAGAAAAAAATCAATACTTTGTAACACGTGGATATAAAATTATTATGAAATACTAATTTAAATACTTGTTTTGACAAAAAGAATATTACAAAATATACTTTAGTGCTTGCAAATTAAAGTGAATTTATTAAACTATAAGCTAGGGTATCTCTCATTAATTCCATTTCATAAGAGATGAAGTGTTTAATTGTTCCAATTCAATCACAAACTCATTTAAAATTTAAAATAACATAATTTAAATGGTATATTTATCCTTTTAACTATTCAAAAAATAAAATATTATAAATTAATTAAAAAGCATTATTATATATGAAATATATCATTTTAAACTATAATAAAATATAAAATACAAATAAAAAATATATTTTATAATAACTCACTATTAAAATGTGAATATATAAACCATAGATTTTATTTATTTTTAAGTAATTAAAATAAAATATTTTTTAGGATATTAGTATTAAATTATAAAAATAAAATGTGAATACATAATTGAATGGAGCTCATGCATTAATAAGGGTAAAATTATAATTTGATTTCAAATTCAAAGTTAAAAATGAAAAAGCTAGAAATCATAGTTTTTACAATGGGTTTGAAATCACCGTTTTCATTGCAATTTTTTTTATATTTTACTCGTTTGGTATTAATTAGACGGTTAAAATGAACTTTTTAACTAAAAGTTTTTTTATAAAGTCATATGAAATGGGACCGTAATGAATTAAATCAGGAGTTTGCAGGTGCTTAATTATCAGGGGTTATTTTCTGTGAATGATTGCGCCCATGGGGATGTTGTGTGGCAGCCCCACCAATGATCGACGGTGGATTTAGCAATGCAATGGCCACTGGCATCACAGCAGCCCACTTCCAGCTGTGCTGGACCGAGAAGCTACTTTTATTAAACTGGATTTCCTCTTTGAACTAGGAATCGGTACAAGGACCATACACATATATACACGAGTATTAAATATAAATGCGATGGATATTATAAAGCTCTAATTTATATTATTTTACATATATATTTTAAAAAACTAACGTGTATTCGTATATGTTTGTTAATCTTGATAAACTTGAGGGGTTTTAGATTGTAGGTTGACGAAGATGTTCATTGCAAAACTAGCATTTTCTGGTACCATTCGGAATGGATAGAACAGATCTCAGGAATAAGGATTCCTTTGTGAACCCTTCACTGATTTCTTCTTATTTGGTTACCAATATTAAAATTTGAATTGAAAATGAATAATATAGCACTACACTGAGATTTATGACAAGGCAAAAGTATATGAGATATCACTTTCAAATTGTCATAAGAACAGAACTTTGAATGTTTCATTCATTTTCAGACCACAAGAAAGAAAAAGATATGCACGTTGATCATCATCATTGTTCTGCTGTTATAGATGCAACATCAGGACAGCGCATCAGCTTGTCTTTTGCATACATATTATATGTATTAGAAAAAAATGACTTGTCTTATTTAGGAGTTTTTCACGTAAAATTTGTGTTTTCTTTATCTTTATTTTTATTTTCTCAAATTATCAGTTGCGATTTTGCTCTATCCGATAGTCGTATTCCGCAACAATTGGTATCAGAACCAGATTAGAGTGTCTAATATCTACGTATTGTCTTTGTGGTTGCCATCAAAAGGTGGATCATCCAACATATGAAAGTAAGAAGCTATTACCCATTCTTTGAAGGTTTCATAGAACTATTCACGATAGTGAAATAATGGGAGCTATCCGTAATAGAAGCTATGACAACGACAAATTATGTGGTACTCATACTAATGGGCATACAATTGCTAGACAAATTATAAGATTTGGATACTATTGGTCAACTATGGAAATTGATTGTATCAATTATGTCCGAAAATACCACAAGTGTCAAATTTATAGAGACAGGATGTACACTCCTCCTCATCCGTTGCATGTGATGACAACTCATCGGTCATTCTTTATGTGGGGCATAGATATTATTGGATAAATTTTTCCTAAAGCCTCAAATGACCATTGTTTCATTTTTGTAACAATAAACTATTTTACCATATCACCAATATTAAGATTTGAATTGAAAATGAATAATATAGCACTACACTGAGATTTATGACAAGGCAGAAGTATCTGAGATATCACTTTCAATTTTTCATAAGAACATAACTTTGAATGTTTCATTCATTTTCAGACCTCAAGAAATAAAAAGATATGGACGTTGATCATATCATTGTTCTGCTGTTATAGATGCAACATCAGGACAACACATCAGCTTGTCTTTTGCATACATATTATATGTATTAGAAAAAAAAGACTTGACCCTACTTCTAGAGCATCCAAAATCCTGGAAAAGAAGGCAGAAATCTAATTACCTTACTTCTTGACGGCCTGTTTTCTGCAACTCTCAGACTTGTCATCATGACCCAAAAATGTAATGCCAGGGAAAGTTTAATGTTTTGAAAAATACCTTTTCAAAAGTTTGAAACTTTACAGGTAAGACAAGGACATTTCACTGTCTGGTTTATTTGTTTCTTAATTCAAGACAAAAACTCGGGCCATTTCTTGTCAGATAAAACAGCTTCTCGATTAACAAAAATCAGTAGGGGAAAACCACTGTCTTTGCCCCATGAACGGTCAAAGACAATGATTTTGTTTTACCATGGCTCACAAATTAAGATTCAGATTAATATGTCCTCCCATGCAATGCAACTATCAAACAAAAACCCATATCAACATACATGTGAAAGAGAGAGAAGGAAGAAAACAACCACATCTCTCAACTCTGCCTCATTGATTTAATTAGAAAGCGTATAATATTTCACCATAGCTTTGAAAATCAACATTCCAAAAAGAATTACAGAAACCCTATTACCCTAGCTTCCAATACTACTACTACTATACAAAATGATATATTGGAAGCTACTACTACTACTATACAAAATGATATATATATATATATATATAGGCAAAATCAACGAGATAATGCGTTGAATTTTTTTTTACGAGATAGTGCCCTCGCCAGATTAATTGCTCAGATGGGGTGATCTCTATAGTCCCGGGGGTAGGTCGCCATGCACGCACAGCGACCTACCAGGTCGCCATGCACGCACAGCGACCTACCAGGTCGCCATGCAGTCCATGCTTGGCCTGAACAATGTTGGTGGTTTAGACATGGCCCTTTCCTTCTACCCTGAGTGTGCAAATGATCCCAAAAACCCAAAGTCGTGGGACCATTTACATTGCGCCATGTCTCATTATAAATTCGTCCTCGCAATTGAAGCATTTGCCAAGCATGGATTGCATGGAGTCTCTGCATGGCTGTGCATGGCGGCATGGCAACGTGGCATGGGTCTGGTGGCAGCATGGCAAGGCAGCATGGCAACGTGGGTAGGTCGCCAGGGAATCCCAGCGACATTGTAGGTCGCCAAGGGATCCCAACGACCTATGCCTTCGCCCCAAGCTCTCTCACGTGCTCTGCTGCCTCTGCTCCCATGCAGCGTGAAATCAGCTGCATTATTGCAGCACTTATTGCTGCATTATTGCAGCCCGTGTACGTGAATGACTCGGCCACCTATAATTGAAGCAAAGTATGCCCGGTTGTTGTATTATAAATGGATGGGGTTAATGAGTGAAACAATTAAGAGAGAAAGAAAGGGAGAAAATAGCAAATGAGAAGATAGCAGAGAAAAGAGGAGGAAGAAGAAAGGGAGAGCAGAACATCGAGGTAAGTTTTTTTAAATTTTTTTAATTAGTTTATTATTTTAAATTATTAGTTTGTTAGTTTATGGTTTAAGTTAAAACAAAATTTTAGTTAATTATTTAATTTGTTTGTTTGATGGTTATATATATTAAAAAAATAATTAATTAGTGTGTTAGTTAGTCTAATATTTAATTAGTTTGTAGTTAGTTAAATAGTTAAGTTATATTTTGGTTGTTGAATTTATATTATATAAAAAATTAGTTTATTAGTAGTTTAAGTTTTATTATAATAAAAAATAGTTTATTAGTTTAAGTTATATAAAAGAATAATTATTTAAATTAGTTTATTGTTATAAATTATTAGTTATTTAGTTTATTATTATAAATTAGGGTAAAACAAAAAATTAGTTAATTAGTTTGTTAGTTTAAGTTATATTATTGTTAGTTTAAGTTATATCATATAGAAATAAAAAATTATTTAATTAGCATGTTTGATAGTTACATATTAATAAAAATATTTAGTTAGTTTGTTAGTCGTTAGTTATATATAAAAAATATGTAATTGGTTTGTGTTAGTTAAATAGTTAAGTTATATTTGTTTGTTGAATTTATATATTATATAAAAAAATTAGTTAATTAGTTTTTTAGTAGTAAATTATAATTAAAAATCATTTATTAGTTTAATTTATATTAAAGAATAGTTTATTAGTTAACGTTATATTAAAGAATAGTTAAAATTATATTAAAGAATAGTTTATTAGTTGTTTAAGGGAAAATTTACGTTTAACTTATATTTTAAAAAGTTTAGTTTGTTAGTTTATTAGTTTAATATATTATAAGTTATTATATTAATTTTTTTTTGTTGTGTTGTAAAATAGTTAGTTAGTTAGATTATATTAGTTATATTAAATGAATTTTTACATACTGTTGTTTACTTTTTTTACAGATTCATTCTAATGTCTGACCAAATTCCACTGTTGAGACTTGTCAATGAACATATTTCAAGTCATTTGGGAATAATGGTGAATAAAATATTTGTTTAATGAATTATAATTAATAAATATTTGAATATTATTTTATGATATTGATAAATTTTTTGAAATATTTAATTGCAGGAGGACGAGCAGCGAGTCCTTCGTCTTCGGCTACATAAAGTGCCCAAGCTACACAGATTGATAGAAGAAAACTTGCAGGAGGCTGGATTTTGGTATGTAACATTTGTGCGAGATTACAAGTTGGTCCCAGGTTTGATCAGTGCCTTGATTGAGCGTTGGAGACCAGAAACGCATACGTTTTATTTGCCGTGTGGCGAATGTACAATAACTCTGGAGGATGTGGCATTGCAACTCGGGGTCTAAACAAATGGGATGCCAGTGGTAATATCACATGAGTTTAATAATATGGCACAACTTTGTAGCTTGTTTCTTGGGAAAACGCCCGTACCACCAAAGTGTAAAGGGTGGCGTGTGAGGTTGTCATGGTTGAAGAATGAATTTCAGCTTCAACCAAATAGTACGGAGCACGAAATTATATATGAAACACGAGCATATATATTACAGTTGATTGGGGGTATTTTAATGCCGGATAAATCCGGTAGTTATGTTCATACTCAATATCTTCTTTTTTAAGAAATTTTGAGAATAGTAGGCAATATAGCTGGGGATCGGCGATATTGGCATTATTGTATCGTGAGATGTGCAAGGCGTCATTAGTCGTGAATGATAATAATACAGCAGAAATCGGTGGATGTCTGTTGCTGCTACAGTCATGGGCTTGGCATAGACTTCCGTTTCTGACACCGATTAGTCGGACTGCGGTTGACTTTCCGCTTGCCGGAAGGTAATATGAATTCTCTATTTTAATATAAAATATTAATTATAAAATAAAAATGACCATATTTTTATTTTGATTGATATACAGATGGAGGCATAAAATTGAAGGCACGGGGTTGGTGCACAACAACATTAAAGAGTTCAGGTTGAAGATCGATATTAAGGCAAAAAAGGAGTATGTATAATCTGTTATTTTTAATTATTATTTAAATTAACTATATTATTTGATTTAAATAAATTTTATTATTTTTGTAATTTTACAATTTAATTGGAGACCATACATGAATGAAGAAATACTTGCGTTGATACCGCACGATATTTTAGTGGGTTTCAATATTGGTGTGTTGTTACACCATTGATCAATTTTGCGTTTGTTGAGATCTAATTTGGGGATAGAGTGTTGAGGCAATTCCACTTCCACCAACCTATTCCGCGGAGTCCATGGGATCATGACATCCTCCAAATCTTAGATGGTCGTCGTCAGGTGAATTGGGTTGAGACGCATGACCAGTTGCACAAATTTGATGGTCGTCGTAAAGAAAATGTTAATTGGGTTGAGAAGCATGCAACCTACATTAATGCTTGGAACAATAGGGCTTCATTCATGCCAACTCTTGACGACATTCAATACGACGACTTTAATTTTGAGACTTCAGCTTACCTTGCTTATTTTTTGGAAAATGGAAAGCCATTCTTGACAACAATTGTAGAGAGGCGACAATTTTTGAGGTTTAAGAAAAGATTTGTTAAAGCTGAATACTCTCTACCAAGTGGGAGTGGGAGTTCATCTCAACAACCTGAAGCGGAAATGACCGATGTGGATAATAGCGCACCACAACCGTTCGGCGATGCATACATACCAGAGTTTGTGCAGCCTGATGCATCCATCTACTCTCCCATATTTTCGTCAACGTATGACTTTGAACACATGTCAGTTCAAATGCCCCCAACGAATGAGGAGAATGGGTACCATACTCCTGAGCAACCGCAATGACCACAACGCATCAGACGTCCGCCCCAACATTATCATTCAACAACACCCCGACATCGGCAACAATTGTAAACTAGTTTGTTATTTGTTACAAATTTAATATTGACATTAGACTAGTTTTTTCAAACCTTAACAAATTCGACATATTTATAATGATTTTTAGTATCAAATCATTATTATAATTTCATTACTAGTTATGTAACGAAAATATGGTTAATTGAACCAAACATTGTTCATTGTTCAAGTCGTAAATCATTGCTATCAAATCATTAAAAATTAATAATAATTTCATTATTACTAATCATTACTAAATTATTACTATCAAATCATTAAAAATTAATAATAATTTCATTATTACTAATCATTACTATCAAATCATTAAAAATTAATTATAATTTCATTATTACTAATCATTACTATCAAATCATTAAAAATTAATAATAATTTCATTATTACTAATCATTACTAATCATTATATCAAATCATTAAATATTAATAATAATTTCATTATTACTAATCATTACTATCAATCATTAAAAATTAATAATAATTTCATTATACTAATCATTACTATCAAATCATTAAAAATTAATAATAATTTCATTATTACTAATCATTACTATCAAATCATTAAAAATTAATAATAATTTCATTATTACTAATCATTACTAAATCATTAATATCAAATCATTAAATATTAATAATAATTTCATTATTACTAATTATTACTAATCATTACTATCAAATCATTAAAAATTAATAATAATTTCATTATTACTAATCATTACTATCAAATCATTAAAAATTAATAATAATTTCATTATTACTAATCATTACTAAATCATTAATATCAAATCATTAAAAATTAATAATAATTTCATTATTACTAATCATTACTATCAAATCATTAAAAATTAATAATAATTTCATTATTACTCATCATTACTATCAAATCATTAAAAATCAATAATAATTTTATTATTACTAATCATTACTATCAAATCCTTAAAAATTAATAATAATTTCATTATTACTAATCATTAATAAATCATTACTATCAAATCATTAAATATTAATAATAATTTAATCATTACTAATCATTACTAAATCTTATAAATACATAGAAATTCATAGAAATACATATATCATTACTAATGATGAGGCCTATATCTTGGTAAATTAGGACAATTGTTTTTTGAATGGCCTTCACCCCTACATAATCCGCATCTCTTTGCTTGACCTCTCTCTCTAGCATGAAAATCCATACTGGTATGAATACGAGTGGACTCAGGTCGACCCTTTGGACTTCTGCGAAGCATTGGATTTGGCAGCCATTCGTCATGATCTTTTCTGGGCCAATATGATTCATTCGGTATCTGTCTGAACGCATAGCTGTAGACATTTAATATCCTACGTAAGTGAAAGCACTCATCAACA